GAGAGTCTCGACATTACGTTTGCCAGCATTGCGTTTCTGTCGTCGAGACACGCCGAACTAACTAAAGGTTGACCTTAACCCTCGCCCTGGCAGGGGGGGGGGGGTCGATGCGACCCCTCCCTAAGGTTTTTCGAAGATAGCGTAAAAACGGCGGCGCGCAGTGCCACCAAATTTGGCACAGCCTATGGGGCAACCTTTTCACATATGTCCTTAAAATTTCAGGTCCGGGTCACCTTGGGTCAGGTCACCAGGTCAGAAAAACCGGTACAAGGTCATGGTAAAATTTCAATTTTCTTTTTGCACCTGTCCAACTCACAGTTTTGGACTGATTCCCTTCAAACTTTCAGGATGTGCTAAGTTCACCGAGTTGTATAAGATATAGTTCGGGTTTTTTGAGGTCACTGACCTGAGGTCAGTTAGAGGTCATTACGTCGTAATGTTAAGCCTACGGGAAAATACTAAATTCGGAAAATACTGGAGATATCCGCTTCGTTCTACCACTTTTGTGCTTTGAAACCACAGTACTTAACAGCAGGTCACTTGGTGCCTCTTTGTTTGGTGTACTTATCCATGGGTCAGGTCAAATGAGGTCAACTGAGGTCAAATGACGTTTTTGCCAATGACTTGGCACATAATGACGCTAGAGCTTAAAAAATGGTATCATTGTGTTCCTGGTGATCAGCCGAGTCGAATGATATGCGATATGATGCAATTTGGTTAAGTTGAACTTAATTAATTAATTAAAGTTTACTTAAAATTTAACCCGCGCCCTGCTGGGGGGTGTTTGAACACCCCCCTTGTGGTTTTTCGCGAATATCTCAAAAACGGCGGCGCGGAGCGCCGCCGTTTTTGGTACACCTTATCATACATCAATTCTACACATGTTGTGAAAATTTCAGACCAAGGTCTTTCAAGGTCAGGTCACCAGGTCACTTGAAGTGACCTCACCTCATAAAAAGTTTCAATGTCTGTCATAGCTACACCGAGTGACCGATCGCTTTGAAACTTTCAGCGATTGCTAAGATCAATAGCATGTACAAAATGTATATCTCAGAATTTTGATATCGATGACCTAAGGTCAGGTCAATTTTGCGACCTCCCCATTATAAGTCAATGGGAGAAAATTGAAATGCGCCTCTTTTGGACGAAAGACATTATAAACACTCCCAAACAGCGAATTACAAGTGGTTAAGACACAATGAACATGAAAATGGTGTCCGTGACCCTTGTTTGTGCCCTGAGGTCATCTTAGGTCACGAATGGTATCTAACAGTTTTTCGCAAATAACTTTTGATAGAGGCATGCTAGAGCGATGAAAACGCCTTATATGTGTTCAGCTCGACGATACGGATCGGCTGATATGCAACATGACCCTTTCCGGTCAGGTAATGACCTTGACCTGAGGTCAAATTTTCAAGTTGACCTTTCAAGGTCAAGTTATAGTTCATTCGATGCGTCTTGACGAGAGGAACACGATGCCGGTAAAAGTAAGCTCGTACAAGGCTTGGGTCAAAAGTTATTGCAGAAAAACTGTTTCCGAAAAAATCGGCTTTTTTTGCAGTTTTTGCCCCCTGCAGGCAAAACCGTTGACGTTAGGTCAAATCTGAGAGAATTACTCAGAAAGGGCGTTAATAGGGCTATCGAATGCACTTTTCCGCGGCGCTGTAGCTCTATTGGTTCCCGAGTTATGCGTTGGCTTCTTGGAAATTTTTGACATTCGACCTGGAAATCGGCGAAATTTTGCCTTCAATGACCTCTGGTGACCTGACCTTTGACCTGACCGAAAAATTGACTGAAGTGATTTCGTCATTATTTTTTACGCTCTTTCGAACGCCGCCTTCCGCGTATCGCTACGTGGCCCAGGAGCCGAGTTACAAGGGGGGGTGTTCAAACACCCCCCCCCCCCCAGCAGGGCGTGGAAATCCAGGACCCCCAGCCGGGCGCGGGTTAAGAAAAACTTTAAGAACACTGATGCAAGCTAAAAAGTATATCATTAGACGCGCCTTGACGTGCTGAGTTCACTGGTGCTTTTTTTTGCTCTGTCTTAATTAGATCAAAAGTTATAAGCGAAAAACTTTTGACCTGTTTTTAGCGAAATTTTTACATTTATACCCCCCAAAACCCCCCTAAATATTGACCTAGAGCAACCAAATTTGCACAGGGGCGAGAACTCTAGGGGGCCCACCTACCTACCAAATTTGGTGTTTCTACAGGGTGTTTCATAATGAATGTCAATTTTAAACTGGGGAGTTCAAAAAGAAAAAATGTGTCTAGCACGTGCAAACTTTCAAGCATTGTTGGAAATTGATGGACATTTTATATAAATAGCATTCAATGCCAAAGTTGTTGTCATCCTTTTTTCAGAACGGGATATGTCGGGTTCACCTCGCGGCTCGCCGTGCTCAAATGATAAATACGCCATTTTCGAAAGAACAGCAGGCGTGGATAGTGCTACAGTTCGGAAGCCTTAAGAACATCTCCAAATTTATGAGAAAGTTTCGGCTTCACTTTAGAGTTAACCCTTCACTTTAAAGTTCACTTTAGACTTGAGCAAGACTTCGTTGACTCCCCCATGGACTGCGAAGAAGTGCTCCGGGCCGTGCGCCATATCCGTGGACGGGACCGAAAGTGCGTTGATCTTCACGGGGCTGTGGTGGAACCGTTTGTCTAGATAGAGAAAAGTGAACAGACAAAAATCAAATGTCCAAGTCTTCTGGTGTATGTGAATCTAAAAACTATGCAAATATATTGTTTTATATGGCTAATATGGCAAATTTAAAATTGACATTCTTTATGAAACACCCTGTAGGTGCCATAGGAGCCAATCGCGAGGGGGGGGGGGTCGCATCGACCCCCCCCTGCCAGGCCGTGTTATGAAAAATGCCCTGCCAGGGCGAGGGTTAAGAAAGGTAATTTTGAGAATTTACCTAAGGTCAAGGTCATGACCTGACCGGGGAAGGTCATGCTGCATAGCAGTCGATGCGTATCGTCGAGCTGAACACAGCTGAGGTGTTTTTATCGCTCTAGCTTGAATCTATCAAAAGTTATTAAAAAAAAACTGCTGCGGACCTTTCATGACATGGGATGACTTCTGGGACATAATGAGTGGTCACACTAGGTGCAATGTTCTTATTCAGTGTGTTAATTTTATATGTATCCCAATGCTTGATATTGTCTAGAATGGCGCTCGTCCAAAAAAGATGCCTTTCAGTTTTCTCCCAAAGACCTAATTATACCTACCTACCTAATGGAGACGTCGCACAACTGACCTGACCTTAGGTCACAGATATCGAAATTCCGAGATATACATTTCATGAATAGTGTTGCTTTCATCAATCGCTGAAAGGTTCAAAGCAATCGTTCAGTCGGTATAGCAATGGTAAGCATTTGAACTTTTTCTAAGGCTAGGTCACTTGGCATAGCCTGGTGACCTGACCTTCCATCACCCGCGTCAGACATTTTTACATGTGCAAAAAAGATGCATGATAAGGTATGCTGAAAATGGCGGCGCTGCGCGCAGCCGTTTTTCAGATACCTATTTGCGAAAAATCTGAGGAGGAGCGCGATAACGCCCCCTAGCACGGCGCAGGCTTTTAGCTCCGTATTTCGACGGTTTGGCGCCCCCTTTGTATGGAGCGCCCCCGGATTGCCAGGTCGCCCCTATTTCGACTTGCCGCCCCCCCTCCCGAAAATTCCTGGATCCGCCCCTGTACCTAATGATGTCATTGCTAGCTACAACTTGTTTATCTCGGAATTTTTATATCGATGACCTAAGGTCAGGTCAATTTATTGACCTCCCCATGATAAGCCCACGTCCCACTGGGGGGCTAATCATAGCCCCCCTTCCCGCTGCAATAACTTCCTAACCTTCCTCTCCTTTCTGCAATAAATTCCAAAACCCTAGACGTATCAACGCCCAACTTTTAGTACCTTCGGCTGCATCAATGTGACACTTTGTGTCAAAATATGAACTTCGTAGCTACCATAGGTCGGCCGGAAATCACGTCAGAGTGACGTCATGTTCGGCCGATTTCGACGCAAGATATTGAACCACGGCAATCGCTTCGATGAGCTCAGCAATTAATAAAACGTTTATGTTAATTAAAAGTTTTTATGAAAAACATAAAAAGTAATGTCGTTTCTTTCTAGAACGATATTCCGCAAATCACGCAAGCTCGCAAAAAACGCACGCAGAAAACGCAGTGTAGCCAGGCCTTAACAACTCATGCCGGTATTTCGTCGCCTACAGCCCAGCTTTCCCTAGTGACCGCTAGAGGCACTGCTATCGATGTCCACCCGTGCCGCCTAACGAGTCGGCGCCACCGTCGCACTTGGCCGCAACCGGTATACTGGCAATCATGGAGCTATTATGATATCGCTCGTTTGTAACTTGTGTAGAGTGCTTCATAAATGATCGCCACATAGAGAAACAACTGTTTAATGAAGCAAATGACTTATATTTTACTCAAAATAACAATTTGAACCCTAATGTCCACTTCTATATGGATTTTGGCGCATAACGGGCTATCAAGTGGGCTTTTCCGCGGCGCTGTATGTTTATTAGTTTCCGAGCTGTACGACGATTTGTTGAGAATTGTCGACATCTGACCTACAAATCGGTGAATTTTGGCCTTCAATGATCTCTGGTGACCTGACTTTTGACCTGTCCAAAAACAGTGACCGAAGTGATTCTTCCTTATTTTGCCGCTCTTTCGAACGCCGCCTTTCCGGTATCGCTACGTGGCCCAGGAGCCGAGTTAAAAAAGGGGGATGTTCAAACCCCCCGCCAGCAGGGCGTGGAAGGAAATCCAAGACCCCCAGCAGGGCGCGGGAGGAACCTACTTAAGTTTCATAGTCTAGCTCCCAGAAAACATTTGGTGTCTTGAGAATCTAGCACATCCGAACAGCCCACAGTGCGCTGATAAGCGCCGCCTGGGTAGGCGCCACACGTCACGACGCGGCCGCTGACCGCCGACACACCACCCGAGAACCGCGAGCAGTCTGCGCCAGCCGACTGCACAGGTCGCACCGCCTCCCTCTCTCCAGTCCACACCACCGACCCTTAGCTCGGGTGGAGGGCGGCGCATCGCAAACTGTAAGTAGCCTTTGGTCGTAAGGTGATCGATGAAGCTCTAGGTGACCAGAAACAGTAGGTGATCTCGTTTAGTAGAGTCGTGGGTGTATTCACGGAGACATATAATTCATATATTTGTGATCTTTGTACTTGCTTACCTGATTAAATGTGATTCCTTGATAAATCAATCAGACAAAAAAGGTCAAATAATTTTGCAACAGTTGCCAATAATTCCAGGGTAGAAGCTAGAAGATATAACATATTAATTAATATTGATGTTTTCAAGCACTTATATTGATATGCTTTTACAAGAATGCTATAAAATAAAACACACAATGTTATTGAGATACACCCCGGTTTTTACTATTTTGTTGCAGATGATGTCTTATCCCAGAAAGACAACTTTTAGCAGAGCACTGCTTCTACTCAGTGCACTCTTAATGCTTTCCATAATAACGTCCCTCGGTCGTAGGGGAGAAACTCTAAAATCACTGCCAGAAATCAGCAAAACATCTGGTGAGTGTATCGTGCCAGACATTGTGATGTTTATTCACATTTGATGACAGCACAAAAGCAAGTATTCTAAATAGCCATTAGAGTTGGCTATTTATAATATTTGCTTTTGTGTTGTCATCGAATGTGAATAAACATCACATCTGGTAAGTTCATCATATCTGGTGAGTGGTGAGTTTTTTGGTATTTCTAAGCGGCCATTGTTGCTATCTGGTTTCATTGCATAGTTTTGTTAGATGGTCGTATCACAATTGATTGAAAACTGAACTGTTCTTTTTTTTAACGAAAGCATACCCAACAACTCACTGGGAATTCTGGATTTCCATGACCTGCTGGAGAGGTGTCTGAACGCCCCCTTCTAACCCGGCTCCTGGGCCACGTAGCGACACACAGTAAACCCAGTAAACCGTTTCGGGCCAAGGCCCATTAACCACAAATAGGGAACCGATAAGCCTCAAAACATTTCAAAACATCTTGGAAGTTCTTGCGCAAGATTACGAAAAAGTGCAAAGTTTGAGGTCAATTTTGAGCGTGACCTTGACCTTGACCTTTGATTTTGAGCACAGTTTCGAAGTCCTCAGATTCTCTTCTTTCCTTCCTTTGACAACCAATTTTGCCGGATTGATGCATCCTGCCGTCCTCTAGAACGCTTATTTTGATATCACTACACATGTGACGGTTTTTGCCTTTGACCTTGACCTCTGACCTTGAAAACTGACCTGAGGTCAAAAATTTTAGGTGCTTTAGAATCGTCTCGTAAGGAGTTTTCGTTTGATATCGCCTTTGTTTCCGTAACTTCCTTATTTACGGAGTTAGACGGGGGGGGGGGGGCGAAAAACGCCACCCCGGGCTGCGGTGGTTGGGATTACCCCCGGGCCCGGCCGGGTTAAAGAACATATTATAAAATGTCAATAGTAAAGTACATGGGTTAACGCTCCTAAGGATTGTTCAGAAACTACTGCTGTTCAGATCTTAACTTCGCTGTTTTAATTTCAGAACAATTTTCCGCAGTTGCTGAAGCTGATATGATGGCACAACAGTACCGGCGGGAACTCTTAGAGAAACGCTGTATTAGCACAAAGTCTTTGAAAACATTCGATTATCTCATCGAACGCCCATGGCTGCTCCGCTGGCTTATCTACAATGATGAACATCGACTGATGTACTGCTACGTTCCAAAGGTGAGTAGGTGTCTTGCCTTTTTTATATAGCATGAATAGGATTATAGTTTAGGTTCACGGTAGGAGCAGAGGTCAACCGGTGACCTCTGAGGTCAGGTCAAGTGCCCCAAGGTACGATTCAGTTTTTGGTGAATAGCTTCGCAAAAAACGGCCGCAGAGCCGCGATTTTGGCAGAATGGAGGTCAGATCAGGTCATTGACCTTTGGTGACCTCGGCTCACTTTTTCGAGTTTTACATTTTTCTAGGCTAGTTTTTGGAGCTGATTTCGAATTTAGCAGCCATTTGAACATTTACGAAGTAGTTTTGGTGCCTTCGTAACATGTTACGAAGCTGTCAGAGGCGGATGACAGGTACTACGAATACCCGTTACGACCCCTACCGGTTGACCTGACCTGACCTGACCTGACCCGACCTGACCCGACCTGGTCTAAACGCTTAACCCGCGCCCCACTGGGGGGGGCTATTTATAGCCCCCCCTCCCGTTTTTCTGCAATAACTTCCAAACCGCTTGACGGATCGACGCCAAACTTTCAGTACCTTCGGCTGCATCAATTTGACACCTTGTGCCAAAATTTGAACTTCGTAGCTACCATAGGTCGGCCGGAAATGACGTCAGAGTGACGTCATGTTCGTCCGATTTCGACGCAAAACATTGAACCACGGCAATCGCTCCCAAGAGCTCAGTTTTTCAGCTAGATCCAATTTCTTTGCATGAAAGGACTCAGAATTGACCGCGCTATCAAACTGCTATCTCGGATTTTCAAAATTTTGAAAATTACGAAAATTTCATATAATAATATTCAAAATTTATATTTTTATATTTTTTTCAAAAAGTTTTTGACTTTTCGAAAAAAAACCGGAATATATGTGACAGAACGCATGATTATGACTAACTCTAGCCAGTTTTAGCTAAATATCTTCAAAAATGGCCAAGTTATACGCATTATTGCAAAAAATTTACAATTATTAATTTTTCAAATCAATTTTTCAGTACGTATTTGACATCGTACACCAATATAAATAGCACCATCGTGTTCCTGAGCTCAAACTGCATCCAATAGACACCTTTTTTGTTGAAAAATTTTAACTTCAAAATTTGACCTTTTTTGACCTGAAAGTGACCTGACCTAAGCTAAATTCGACTCAAAATGACCTCGAATGACACATACGACATCAAATTCGAAATCTATGGCCTAAATGGACCATAAAACATGTGTCACGTGACCGACGCATGATATAATATTTTCGTGACCTGTGATGACCTGACCCTGACCTGAAAATCAAGGTACAAGTTTGGTACCCTCAAGGTATCTAGAGCATCTGTACACGAGTGTGGAAACCAAAAATGAGCCTGATCTGACTTGTAAGACGGCGGCCAGAGCCCAAAATGTGAACAAGCTAAAGTGCTAATAATTTTTACTTTGACCTGACCTGTGACGTCATCGGTGACCTTGAGGTCAATGAAATTAGGTTTCGCTCGACAGTTTTTCCGGGGCTATCAGACGCCGTTTGAATTTTGACGATCGGCCCAGTAGTTTCGGAGTTAGGAGGGGGGGCTATGAATAGCCCCCCCCCCCCCCAGTAGGGCGTGTTATACACAGACCCCAGTGGGGCGCGGGTTAAAGGAAATAGTTCACTTTCCTGAAATTAGTATTTTGCTATGGATTTATGTTTTTTTATGCTCAAAATGATCAGAAAATAAAGCAAAACGTTTTGTAAAAAGGATTATTTTCTATATTTTAGTATAAGAAGAACTATATTCTATATAAAATAATGTTTGGCGCGGAAGCTTATTACGCGTTGACCAATCATATTGCGTAGGACAAACCCATCGGCTGTAAGCAGCATTCTGATTGGCTGACGATGACGTGACTGCATTCCTCAGCAAGGCACGCATTCATCTGCAAGGCACTCTTTTCGGAACGAAAAATGGAATATCTTCGTCTAGGGTGATCGTTGGGCCGTAAAAACTTCTGATTTGTGCTAGTCTCAGCGCAAGCAACAAAACTGCTATTCCAGTTCCAAACCCCATGTTAAAAGTGAACTATTTCCTTTAAAGGTAGTGTGCCAGCTTTCTTGGACCGTATGGAGTTAATGGCCCAGATAAGGAGAACCGGATTTTTAGAACTTATCCATACCTTCAAAACTCATGGAAACGTCTTAAATTCTTCAAATTTTGAGTACCCCAGTGCGAAATTCGCCCCGACGGGTTGTCGGTCGTACCCCAACCACATTTCACACCACTATGAACAATAAATGCACACACTGAAATCGCTATTACCGATATGCTCATCCAATCAAGTTTCGATAAACCCGTTCATCATCATCTCCTGCGGTTTCGAACACGCCTGTTAGGTGGCTTCTGATGCTCGTCGAGGTCGGAATTTCCAAATACGCGTGGTGCGTCGGGCCGCGCGCTCTGACTTCGGCCAAGAAAAATGGGTCAGCTGATCATTGTCATTTCTGCCACTTGCGTGTGGTGAAATGGGGTCATAACTTATAAGACGGCTTTTTCATATCAATTATTTTACATAAAATCATATTTCAAACCATAAATAATGTTCGACAGCCAAATAAAAGAAACAATACAATACGGGCTTACAGTTTAAGGCTCGACATTGTGTTGTCTACGATTAGACAGCTGATAACTCATTCCCGTACGTCGTATGGTCGTAACACTATAATGACCTTTGCTTATTGTCACAAGTGCGCCGCATTCGCGATTGTTGCCCGACGCCTGTTTGCAGGTGAGCCCACTACAGTTGTTATACATATCTAAAAACCGAAAAACTTTTAGGCGAAAAAGGCACTATTCCAGGCCCATTTTTGATTTTTTTTTGCGATATTAGGTAAAAACAGAAGCTTCTTATCCTAGGAAAAATAAAATGGGAAATCTTTCAAAGGTGGCACACTACCTTTAACGACATCATCTGTGATCAAAACTAACACGATATTCGTGATCAGCACCCCGGAAAGCCCCTTAGCAGCCACACTTTATGACTTTTTAACAGGTCCCGACATTCCCGATGTTTGGGTCATTGACCTGACCTGGAAAGTCAACCGATGACCTAGGACCTTAAGCCTCGCCGGCACAGGCCATTTTGAGTCCTTCGACGGGGTTGGTTGGTACCACCCCCCTCGCGTGTGGCCCCTGATGGAGCTAGAGCTTCGCGGAAAAAAAAACGAGCGTGTTGCCCGTCACGACAGGAAGCCAATGATACCCAATTTTAAGGTCCTGTAGGCTGTAGGCTGGACATGATTGCAAACATTTTTTTAGGCTTGGTCAGTTAACTTGACCTGGTGACCTGACCTGACATGACCTGGGGTTAAAATTTCACACATTATCCAAAATTGATGTACAAAAAAAACTACTCCAAGCGGCGCGGCGCTACACGCCGCTCTTTTTTATTCACACGCAAAAAATGCGACAGGGTGGTAACATGGTTAACCCTCGCCGGCACAGGCCATTTTGCGTCCTTCGACGGCACAAGGGGGGGGGGGTTGGTACGACCCCCCCTCTTGCGTTTGGCCCCTGATCGTGCTATAGCTTCGCGGAAAAACGAGCGTGTTGCCCGTCACGAGAGGAAGCCGATGATACCCAATTTTAAGGTCCTAGGTCATCGGATGACCTTCCAGGTCAGGTCAATGACCCGAAAACCGGGAAAATCGGGACCTGTTAGAAGTTCGTAAAGTGTGGCTGCTATGTGGTTTTCCGGGGTGCTGATCACGAATATCGTGTTAGTTTTGATCAGAGATGATGTTTTTAAGCATTTAGACCAGGTCGGGTCAGGTCAGGTCAGGTCAACCGGTAGGGGTTGTGACGGGTATTCGTAATACGTGTCAACCGCCTCTGGCAGCTTCGTAACAAGTTACGAAGGCACCAAAACTACTTAGTAGTTAGTAAATGTTCAAATGGTTGCTAAATTCGATTTCAGCTCCAAAAACTAGCCTAGAAACATGTAAAACTCGAAAAAGTGAACCGAGGTCACCCGAGGTCACCAAAGGTCAATGACCTGACCTGACCTTCAGGTGACCTTGACATCCACCCTAATGTATGGGAGCAACATCAAACCACATGTTTCAACGTTTGAAATCACGAAAAGCTTGCAAACGCGCGGCTAATGCGAGCCGACATACGCTGAATCGCGATTTCGGCCAAACATGGTCACGGAAAAGAGGTCACAGGTCAAAGGTCATTGGGGTCAGGGTCATGAAATTTTCAGGGAACGTGTAAAATTGATCAATGCGAGGGTACTGAAAGTGTCGTCGCGATCGGCCGCTTTTTACGCGAGTTATTCGCGAAAAGCCTTAGGGGGGGGTTGCATCAACCCCCCCCCCTGTGTCGGCGAGGGTTAATTCGACGCGTCTCGACGAGAGTAACACGATGCTGGCAAAAGTAATGTTGTGGCTTGTTTGAATCAAAAGTAATTACCGAAAAAAACTTTTTTTGTAAAAACGGTTATTTTAACACTTTTTTGCTCACTGGAGGCTAAACCGTTGACCTGAGGTCAAATCTGAGGACAATGCTCAGAAAGACCCGTAAAAGGGCTATCGAATGCGCTTTTCCGCGGCGCTGTAGCTCTATTGGTTCCCGAGTTAGCCGTCGGCAGTTTCAAAAATTGTTGAAATGGCCTGAATTTGACCTTTGTGATGACCTCTGGAGTCTGGCGACCTGACTTTGACCTGACCCGAAAAATGACTGAAGTATTTCCATCATTATTTTAGACGCTCTTTCGAATGCCGCTTACCGCGTGTTGCTACGCGGCCCAGGAGCCGAGTTAGTTGTTGGGGAGGGGTGTTCAGACACACCCCCCCCCCCCGGCCCGGCGCGGAAGTCGCAGAGCACCAGCCCGGCGCGGGATAATATAAACGATTTTCTATGGTTGCTGATGACCAGGAAAGTGACTGGGTTGCATATAACCATGACCATCGGATTTGGCGTGAAAAATAAGCCATAAAACATGTGTCGCATGCCCATGTAGCAGAAAGTGAAAACCGTGACCTTTCGTGACCTGACCTGACCTTGACCCGTGCTTAGTATGACCCTTATACGCACATGGTATCTTCACTAGGCCTTTGAGGTCATTCTGGGTGAGTTTCCAGCAGGAGCTTTCGATTCCGCTGTCCGTAAGCCTCATCATGCAAAACCCCAGAATTTGACCTTTGACCTGGCCTTGATCCGAAAGGTGACCTCAATCTTAAAATCTTAAGTGTTTTGGGAAGGTCTCGTAGAGATCTTTCGAACGCCGCTTTGCGGGGATCGATACGACCATTAGTTCTCCAGATAACAGGGGAGTCGGATCCGACCCCCCCCCCCCCCGGCTGTCGTGGGTACGGAAATAGCCCAGGCGGTGCCGGGTTAAAGGGAGGGTCGATCGATCACCCTCATCTGTTTGCCTTGTTCGCTCTGATCACGTTTGCACCTTTGGCTGTTACTGGCCACATCTCAACGGGTCACTAATCACCGTTTGTTCCCGTTTCAGGTTTCCTGCACGCAGTGGAAGAAGCTCTTTGGTATACTGTCCGGAGTGTTTCCAAATGTACCTTTCAATAGCATAAATTCTGGACATGCGCACGAGCCAAACCTTTTCCCGAGCCTGGCACAACTCCCCGAACCCGAAATACGCCGCCGGCTGGAGACGTACACCTCCTTCATGTTCACGCGGCACCCCCTCGAGAGGATGGCCTCTGCTTACCGCGACAAACTAAGCCCAGGCAATACCGTATATCGCCAGCAATATGCGGCAAAGATAATGGGTCAGCCCAACGGCAGCATTTCAATTCACAATCGCCAAAATACATCCCTCCCTCTAGATGAGCTGCCGACGGTCACATTCGATAAGTTCGCTGAGTGGATAGTTCGGGCGGGTCCTGTGGACTTAGACACGAACAGCAAGAAAGCGCAGCACGACGAACACTGGCGTCCGATGGTGGACCTGTGCCACCCGTGCACCATCCCGTACACGGTACTCGGCAGGACGGCCACCCTCGCCGAGGACGCCCGGCTCGTGCTGCGGACCGCCAACATCACCTCGGTCAAGTTCCCCGAAGGGTACCGGTCGGCCACCCCGGGCGTCACGGAGAGCCTGGTGAGCCTGCTCCGGACGGACGTGCTGAAGGGCGTGCTGCGACACTACCTGCACGACCTGTTCCTGTTTGGATATCGTCCGCAGGCTGTCTTCCATGAAAACGCGACGGCTCGCGATATCACCCAAAACATGTATGAGGAACTTCTGGCAGAAGCTATGATGCCGCACACGTGAATATGATGTGGTTGTGTTCACTACTCGACTGCGCCTTCAAAACGCAACAAAACGTTCGTTGGGCGTTTCGTGGGAGGGTTTGTATAATTTGTCAAGATGTCACTTAGTAAAATAAATCAAACTACTTCACCAGTCCACCACCCATTACCAGGCGGTGGACTGTTGTCAACGAGGACGTCTTGCGTTGAAGAGGCAGACGTCCTCGGTGACGAGTGTCAACGCAATGACTCCGTTTTCTTGCATCTTCACGAGAAAATCTGCAGCCAGATTATCCGTGTGGAGCGTTCCGGCGAGCCTTTCTAACCACCACAGGGTGCACTGTAGGTCACCGCTGCGGTGATCAGCGGTTGAACGCTTCTGAGTGTGTCTGACCACGCCTGTGCCTGTGTGTGTATGTTTCTCTGTATTTTTTTTTTATTATCAGGTAACCAGGATTGTTTCACGCCTAGCAAACCCATACGTTAACCCACGCATGACTGGGGTATTTTCCCAGACCCGGAAAGTAGATGCGGCCCTGAAATCTATTAATCCCAGCTTAACCCGCGCCCTGCTGGGGGGGGGGGGGGTGTTTGAACACCCCCCTTGTGGTTTTTCGCGAATATCTCAAAAACGGCGGCGCGGCGCCGTTTTTGGTACACCTTATCATACATCAATTCTACACATGTTGTGAAAATTTCAGACTAAGGTCATTCAAGGTCAGGTCACCAGGTCACTTGAAGTGACCTCACCTCATAAAAATTTTAATGTCTGTCATAGCTACACCGAGTGACCGATCGCTTTGAAACTTTCAGCGATTGTTAACCCGCGCCTGGCTGGGGGTCCTGGATTTCCACGCCCTGCTGGGGGGGGGGGGGTGTTTGAACACCCCCCCCCCTGGGCCACGTAGCGATACGCGGAAGGCGGCGTTCGAAAGAGCGTCAAAAATAATGAGGAAATCACTTCAGTCAATTTTTTGGTCAGGTCAAAGGTCAGGTCACCAGAGGTCATTGAAGGCAAAATTTCGCCGATTTCCAGGTCGAATGTCGACGATTTCCAAGAAGCCAACGCATAACTCGGGAACCAATAGAGCTACAGCGCCGCGGAAAAGCTCATTCGATAGCCGTATTAACGCCCTTTCTGAGTAAATCTCTCAGATTTGACCTAACGTCAACGGTTTTGCCTCCAGGGGGCAAAAACTGCAAAAATAGCCGATTTTTTTCGGAAACAGTTTTTCTGCAATAACTTTTGACCCAATCCTTGTACGAGCTTGCTTTTACCGGCATCGTGTTCCTCTCGTCAAGACGCATCGAATGAACTATAATTTGACCTTGAAAAGTCAACTTGAAAATTTGACCTCAGGTCAAGGTCATGACCTGACCGGAAAGGGTCATGTTGCATACCAGTCGATCCGTATCGTCGAGCTGAACACATCTAAGGCGTTTTCATCGCTCTAGCATGCCTCTATCAAAAGTTATTTGCGAAAAACTGTTAGATACCATTCGTGACCTAAGATGACCTCAGGGCATAAACAGAGGTCACGGACACCATTTTCATGCTCAGTGTGTCTCAACCACTTGTAATTCAGTGTTTGGGAGTGTTTATAATGTATTTCGTCCAAAAGAGGCGCATTTCAGTTTTCTCCCATTGACTTATAATGGGGAGGTCGCAAAATTGACCTGACCTTAGGTCATCGATATCAAAATTCTGAGATATACATTTTGTACATGCTATTGCTCTTAGCAATCGCTGAAAGTTTCAAAGCGATCGGTCACTCGGTGTAGCTATGACAGACATTGAAACTTTTTATGAGGTGAGGTCACTTCAAGTGACCTGGTTACCTGACCTTGAATGACCTTGGTCTGAAATTTTAACAACATGTGTAGAATTGATGTATGATAAGGTGTACCAAAAACGGCGGCGCTCCGCGCCGCCGTTTTTGAGATATTCGCGAAAAACCACAAGGGGGGTGTTCAAACACCCCCCAGCAGGGCGCGGGTTAAGAGTAATAGCATGTACAAAATGTTCATCTCAGAATTTTGATATCGATGACCTAAGGTCAGGTCAATTTTGCGACCTTCCCATTATAAGTCAATGGGAGAAACCCATACAGGTTTTACAATACAATCTGGTTTTACAATCTGGTTTTACAATGGGAGAAAATTGAAATGCGCCTCTTTTGGACGAAAGACATTATAAACACTTCCAAACACTGAATTACAAGTGGTTTAGACACACTGAACATGAAAATGGTGTCCATGACCCCTGTTTATGCCCTGAGGTCATCTTGGGTCACGAATGGTATCTAACAGTTTTTCGCAAATAACTTTTGATAGAGGCATGCTAGAGCAATGAAAACGCCTTAGATGTGTTCAGCTCGACGATACGGATCGACTGATATGCATCATGACCCTTCCCGGTCAGGTCATGACCTTCACCTGAGGTCAAATTTTCAAGTTGACCTTTCAAGGTCAAGTTATAGTTCATTCGATGCGTCTTGACGAGAGGAACACGATGCAGGTAAAAGTAAGCTCGTGCAAGGCTTGGGTCAAACGTTATTGCAGAAAAACTGTTTCCGAAAAAATCGGCTATTTTTGCAGTTTTTGCCCCCTGCAGGCAAAACCCTTGACGTTAGGTCAAATCTGAAAGAATTATTCAGAAAGGGCGTTAATAGGGCTATCGAATGCGCTTTTCCGCGGCAGTGTAGCTCTATTGGTTCCCGAGTTATGCGTTGGCTTCTTGTAAATTGTCGACATTCGACCTGGAAATCGGCGAAATTTTGCCTTCAATGACCTCTGGTGACCTGACCTTTGACCTGACCAAAAAATTGACCTTCCGCGTATCGCTACGTGGCCCGGGAGCCGAGTTAGAAGGGGGGGTGTTCAAACCTCCCCCCCAGCAGGGCGTGGAAATCCAGGGCTCCCAGCCGGGCGCGGGTTAACCCGCGACCTTGTGGGGGCTATTTTTGCCCCACTCCAGACTTTTCGATATATCTCCAGAACCGCTGCGCCGATCGTCACCAAACTTTCAGTACCATCCCGGACATCAATTTAACACATTGTGACCAAAAATTTTTCCAAAGGCTATGATAGGTTGGCCGAAAATGACGTCAGAGTGACGTCATGTTTTGCCGTTTTCGACCCAAAAAAGGGTTTCGCGGGAAGAGCTGTCAGGCCTATAGCTTTGCAAATACAGAAAAATGGTAAAGTAATAAAAGCTGTAGAATCAACAGGGCTACACAACTGCTATCTCTGATTTTTGAAATTTTTGGATTTTGACCCCCAAATATCAAAAAATATTTTTTTTTGGATATAATAATCGAAAAATCCAAAAAAGTTTCTTGAATTTCGCAAAAACCGGAATATATGTGATAGTCTTTACCGCCTTCCATCCACATACCAAATTTGAGATTGAAACTTCTTTTTTGGCGAAGTTATAGCGAAAAAGCTGTTCAAAATTGATGACGTCAAATTCTCAAACTCAATTTTTAGCAATTCTAGACCCCGTAGCGGAAAACAAAGACCACCATTAGACTCCCCGTGACGAGCTGCATCGAATCAATACCCATTTTATGCAAAACTCCCCCCCCCAGCGGGGCGCGGTGCAGCGGCAAAATTGTTTATTGTAGTACCTATGGAAATGAACTATTGCAGATATTTTTCCTCTTTAAAAGTTATCCTCTAAAATTATCGCTTCTTTTAGAAAAAAAAATAACTTTTAATAAATCTGAACGTTCACACGAAACTGCTTCACCTATGGGGCACTTTCGTGCAAGGGGTGGGGCACTTATATATTGACAATATTGACAATCGCCGACACTCCACAAACACAGTAGTGCTGTTCCGTGTCGTAAGTCACGAAGTAAAAACAATGCGATACGTAGGTAGATGGGCATAAGAGAAACATACGCTCACTTCATTCACCACTTTAGCACATTTTAGATCCTACTCCTGTCCCCCCGCGGAGTCCCTATTGCACTGCGACTTAATGTAACGCTGGAAACGAGCCGAGTCAAGTTCGATGACAGCCGGTGGAAGTTTGTTTAAAAGAGATGTTGCGCGATATAAAAAGGAGTGTTGCCCGACTGCTGAGCGAGTAAAAGGAGGTGGCTAAAATGCCGGTCCTGTCGAGTGCTACGGTCACATCGTTGTTGGCGCGATACACCGAAAGTCACAAACAGAGATGAAATGTCGGCCGGCTCGTCATACACAATTGCCTTATGGGCCACAGCCATTGCTGATATCTCGTACATACGTCGAGGACAGAGCAGTCCTATAGGTCCTCTCGCGCGCGAGACACGTGATCGTACTTTCTGAGGCCAGTGATCACCCTGGTAGCAAAGTTGATCACGCTGAGCAGCTGTGAGTCGTTTTTGCGGTACCACCGCCATATACAGAAATACAGTATCTCACGCGCGAGAGGACCAGACCGTCGACAACAGTTCGCAGTACACCCCGCGGGAGATTCCTCAGATGGCGGAGACCGATCAGGAGGCCAATACAACGACGGACCACGTCACCTACGTGTGCGTCCCAGCTAGGGTGGCGATCGAAGATCAAGCCCAAGTTTTTTACTGTCTGGCTCTCCTGATCGGTCTCCCCACCGAACCGTACGCTGACAGGGGATAGGTCACGTGTGTTCTGCCGGGTACCAATGACGATGATTTCAGTTTTGGATGCATTGAGCTTTAGACCATGGGCATGGAACCATGTAGACAGGGTGCAAAGTGTGAGTTCCATGCGTTGGACAAGGGAAGGAAGGTTGCGTTTGGTGTCGGATATAAGGATTTGGGTTTCGTCAGCGTACTGGGTCACATGAGCGTCCGGCGCGTGCAGGCTGAGGTCGTTGGCGTATATGGTGAACAGGAGAGGACCGAGGGCAGATCCCTGAAACACTCCCATGGCATTAGGGAGAGGATCTGAGACCACTCTGTCACCAGAGGGAGATGTGATTGAAACGGATTGGGTGTGACCGGAGAGATAGGAGGCGAACCAGGCTGGGTGAATGTTGTACTGCTGGAGCTTGGCAAGGAGCAGGTTGTGAGGGATGACGTCAAAACACTTGCTGAGGTCCAAGAGGCAAAGGAGTGGGAGGTGGCTACGGTCCATATTGGAGAAGATCCGGTTTGTGACTGTGAGCAGAACGGTCTCGGTGGAGTGACGGGGCGGAAACCATGCTGGGATGGGGATAGGAGATGATTGTTGGACATGTAGGCGAGCAGCTGTCGCTGCACCACACGTTCGACAATCTTGGTAACAACAGGAACAATGGAAATAGGACGGTAGTTGGATATTTGGGTCGAGTCACCGGATTTGAAAATAGGATGAACCAGAGAGTGTTTCCAGGCATCGGGGATGTCACATGAGGTGAGTGAGGAATTGATGATATGGAGAAGGATAGGTCCGATGGCGTCAAAACTAAGGATAAGGATACGGATGCATATACCGTCAGTCCCACACGCACCGGAACGCTTCATGGAGAGCATGACCTCCCGCAGGGCGCCCAGCGTCGTGCCCGACACACGAAACCCGCGCGCCCCCACACGCGGCAGACA